AGTTCAACATGATAGTGATAGTCTGTCCCTGGTGCCTAATTCAAACACTTGGTGTGTGAAATCTTTTCGAACTTGCTATGCCCCCACTACGTGGCCTTAAGGGTGCAGTAGCGTGTGTGCCTTTTGTAGTGGGTGAGAAGCTTTGAACTATGAAGTCTTTAAGATAATCCCATTTTCTCACGCCCAATGGCAATGTACGCTTGTACCACGCATTATTACGGCAATTGTCATGTTGTATTGTGGAGGATGTATACAGGACGCCTGTGTTTGTAAAACATTAATTACTTTCACTGCATTTGCAAGCAGAAGAAGTTATTTTCACTACATTCCCAAGAAAAAGTTAAGTATCGGGTGATTATGGTGCTTAGTATTTTATGTGAAATTGCGCTAAAAATGCTGAAAAACGCTACATTTACGATTTGCATCATAAGCTCCATACTTTTGAAAGTCAATAGCCGGGATTGTACATTGATGTGATAAATGTTGTAAGAGAACAGATACAAAAACACGGCTCAGATGGATACCGGAGGAAGAGGGGGGGGGGGGCAGTGATTTGTTCTTGTGTTACTCATTTCACTGAAGAGGAACCCACAAGGAAAGCACTCGGGGATGTAAAGCGATGTGCACTTTATAAACATATACTGCAAATTGAATCACGGGGTTCTGTTTGCACAGAGACAAGTGAAATATGAGCCGCATTTCAAAATTATCAAATGTTCCTTTGCCAAGGCTGAGCTTCAGGAGAACTTAGAGGAGGAAGCTGTTTACGTAATTCCCCGTGTTCCCCACTTACAAGATCACTGACTCACTGTTGATAGGTCCATAACCAGGGAAGAATTAGATATACAATAGCAACGTTGCAGAAAAACAAAACTCCTCGTCCAGATGGCCTCCTGTGGGGAATTTGACATACCAGTCCAGGAACTTCTGATACCTTTCCTTGAGCAACTTTTTCAAGAGGCTTATGAACGTGGTGAACTACCTCCTTTTTTCTATCAGGGTGATGCAACACTATTCCCCCAAAGTACTGATCCTGAAGCATTAAAGAGGGTTATCGGATATGGGCCTATATCGTTATGTAGCATCGACTACAAAATATTTGCCAAACTGCTGACAAATCGGCTACAGATGGCGATCACTAAGTGTGTAGGTGACCACCAAACAAGTGGATATCGAAGTCGCTCTATACGGACAAGTGTTCATATACCAAGGTAAGTCTTTACCCGCATTGACGTTAGTATGGACCAAGTAGCCCTTCTTCAAAAAGAACTTGCTGAAGCATTTGATAAAACACAGCATGTTTTTTTTTTCGGCTTCTAAACACCTGCAGTTGGGTTATGTACTGTACAATGGTATTTCACTCTGTTATAAGAAGTACACTACAAGGCTAATTGTAATTATTGATTGATATGTGGCGTTTAACGTCTCGAAACCACCGTATCATAATTAGAGACACCGTAGTAAAGGTCTCCGGAATTGCGACCACCTGGGGCTCTTTAACGTGCACCCATATCTGAGCACACAGGCCGACAGCATTTTCGCCTTCATCGAAAACAAGGCAAATTGTAAATCGCATTTTCCAAAATATAATAGAGTTGAATTCATCTGTACTTCAGGGATTTCCGCTCTTGCCTTTGCTCTTTGGAATTTATCTGGAACAACTCTAGCATAAGAGGATACCGATATGAGGCAATGCAGATAGCATTGCCTTCTTTTGTGTTGATAAATTCTAGCATTTGAAAAAAACAGTAAACGCTACTTTTTGTAGAGTCGCTGACACCAGCATAAATTTTGATAAAAGCAGAAGATTCTGGCTAGGCATGTGGGCCGAAACTCCTTCGGTCTTCTGAAATATCCATTCGAATGCTACTGCTATGTAGTACCTTGGTGTGCCTCTCGATAACTATGCTTCAGCTCGCTCGCTTATGCTTTGGTGGAGAAAATTATGTGTACTTGAATCTTTTCGAGGTATTGTTATGATTGGGGGGCATCGCCTACATACATGATGGTGATCCAATCATTGCAAACGTTGATAAACTCGTCCTAATTTTCTGGCAAGGTTTGATTAGGGCGTGCATAGCGCCACCATGGTTATAAGCTTGTCCAGCAATTCCGAACGCAGGCTAATGTACGACTATATCTGACCAGGGGCTTCCTTATTCATTGTCTGTTTAACCTTTTTTTCTGCTTTCAAATATGAAACAACTTTATCCCAGAAACGTTCCATTGATTAGGGACTGTCGAGACAAACCAGAAAGATCGAGTTGACTTATTGTATACATGTTGCAATCATCATGATGAAACCTATTAAAAATGAAACGTTATCTTCAAACCTTGGCACTGTGATAACACCAACTGATATAAAAAATTGTGCATCCCTCAGCACAGCAGATTTTAAAGGTGTAGTTTTTATGAAATTTGTAATTATGTGTCACGAAATTCTTTCACAATGTGACTAGGCTATCGTGCGAAATGCATGAGCTCTTTTGGGACGCTAAACCCCACATATCATTCAATCGAAATACGTAGGTGCTGGGCGCATTGTATCTCACTGGCCACTCACTCGTAAGTCACACGTGCCACTGAAATACTACTACTAGTACTACTGCTACTACTACTGCTGGTAGTAATAATAACCTGATTATTATTATTATTATTATTATTATTATTATTATTATTATTATTATTATTATTATTATTATTATTATTATTATTATTATTATATTATTATTATTATTATTATTATTATTATTGCGTGGTGTCTTGCGACCAAAAATGCGACCTCTACGGCAGGAATCGAACCCGCGGAAATTCGGGTCAGGAGCCGAGAACCATAGCCACTGCTCCAGCGTGGTGGACCACCTGTAACCATGCCCACGTTACTAGAAGTGCGAGTTTAACAGGGCCCTGCTGTCCTGGCTGGGCAATTAATGGTGGAGCTCACTTAGACTCAACCCCAAAATATATTTTGCGCTTAGGGCCCACTCAAACTCCGACCTCAACCAGACTCACTGGGACCCAGACTCACAAAATTTTTGTCAACCGTTCACCAAAATATTATTCACCCGGACTCACTGGGACTAAGACTCGCAGCCCGATCTGAAAGTGAGTGAGTGATGAGTGAGTGAGTGAGTGAGTGAGTGAGTGAGTGAGTGAGTGAGTGAGTGAGTGAGTGAGTGAGTGAGTGAGTGAGTGAGTGAGTGAGTGAGTGAGTGAGTGAGTGAGTGAGTGAGTGAGTGTGTGAGTTTCTGACGACCTATCATGCAGCACAAGTTACAAACGTTTCATTTCACGTTTGTTTACCATGAGATTTGATGACGGCTTGATGACTATTTCGTTGTACTTTTTGTGAAGCACTATTATCTGGCCAAGTTGAAGTGGTTTTTGAGCTGTTGGACTAAAAGGACAGTAAGGTTTACAAGAATAAACTGGCCTCTGAGAGCTTTGATGCCATAAATTTCACTGTTCATTGTTCATCATTGTCGATGTTCATCATCCATGTTCATTATTAGCGGAGAAAATGAAGGCTGAAGTTCCGTTTTTTAAATTTTGTGCCGAAACCTCTACCCAAGATGTCATGAATTTCAAAATGCATTTTTCGTATTATTGTGACATGGGCTCGATCAGAGTTTTCGAAACTTGATAAGTTAGCTTTATGGCGCCCACAGATGACAATGTATTGCATTTGTTATCGATTATTAGCTACGCAGGACCTAGTAGACGCTTTTTAAAATCTATGACACCATTGTGTTTGGTGCGGGAATCTCAAGATGGCGTCTCCACACACATTTCTCTTTTTTTGCAGTTTTCTCGTTTACTAAGCGTCCTTTCGTGGTGAGAGGAGTGTTTTGAGGATTGCGAAATCATACTTTACTAACACGCAAGGAATCATTCTTCTTTAGTGCCCCTTTAACGGATCACGTGGTATTGTAAGCGGTGGTAACGACGCCCGGTGACTTGCGACAGCAATGCTTCAATGTGCAGAAAGGTGCCGATGCTGTAAGATGTGAACCGCGTTTTGGTTGAAACTAACATGCCTCATCACTTCAGATAAGTGGAATGGCAAAGGATGTGCGAACTGCGGTCGTCCCCTATTTTAAACTTATAAACTGACAACTTTTGTTTGCCCACGTCAGTCTGTCTGAATTGTTTTTTCAGGACAATTGAAGGAAGTCGTCGTAATGTAAAACTCGGCGGGTAAAATTTGGGTGCTGGGCCCTTGAAGTATTAGTGACGAATAATGGCGGAATTTGAGAGATGAGAAGTTCACAGCCTTCGGTACCTTTCACCAATTGTAAACGTAAAATGTACTCACTGTTATATTGCCAGTCCCGTTGCTAAAATAATAACCAACCTTCCTTCTTTCCCATCGTTTCCATACTGGCTGCCTTCTGCAAGATGTTTTTTTTTTTAACACACAGATTGGCAAACCTGTAATCAAAGAACCACCCACAGCTTTAATATTTTCTAATGTTGATTTAACCTTGGTTAGTGTTCTTCACAGGCTGGGGTCAATAAATTTGCAGCGCGTCTTTGCAAAGCTTCTGTTTTAAGCAGGTCACATCCTCCTCCTCCCGGCCTCTTCTCGTGTTGACAACTTACTCGATTTTCTATAGGCGAGAAAAGTAGTGAAGACGGTGGACGATTTCTGCTTTAACTTGTAAACTCATTTCATAGCAAGCCAGCTGCCGTCGCAGTACCATTGAAGCGGTGTAAATTAACGTTTGAGGGGCCGCCCTACCCATTCGTGTCTTCCACACTGCACTGTCCTCCTTTTATTTTCTCGATAGTTTTTAATTGACAGCATTCTCTCCTCACTAGCAAATCTACGTCATTATCGTGGCGACAAGGTACAAATTATCTGCCAAATCATTCAATTGACGAAGGTTTATTAAAATATCCCCACCACTATGGCTTCTTTATGGGACCGCACGCAGGCACAAGGAAGCAGTAAACTCGCAACGCTCATCTCATACAGAAGACGGAACCCATATACGCACCTCTAATGATGGCGCGTCGGTAAGCTTGGCCTCACCCGCCTCCGTGGCCTGAGCTCGGCTACGGTGAGGAGGCACTTTGGAGTCGTCAGACTCCTCCAAGAGTACCGAGTCCCTCCAGCGTGGGATGCCAACGTCGTCCTCTCCGAAGCTGTCCGCGAACATTGCGCTATTGAAGCACGAGCGCACCTCTGTGGTAGAGCCGGGCCTCGTGAATCCGTTCAGGACGTTAACGCCCAGCGTCGACGTGCTACCGCAGTCCGAAGACCCGGCTGCCGCTGTGAGAGTTCCCACGGGCTTGTGGCGCCGGGAGTGAGCCCCGCCGGCCTCGGCGCCATCGCCACACGACCTCTTCTCCTCGCGCGACGTTCCGCTGCACAAGCCACCAAACACACTTCCGTCCGTAACCACGTCGAAGTCACAGTGTCCTGCCAGGTTGCGTGCCGCAGTGGCGTCCTGCTGGGGCTCGGCTTGGTTGTTCTTGCGCAGTCTGGGTTTGGGCACTGGACAGACGAGCACCGGATCGATAGGCGACGACTTTGGCGGCAGCGAGGCAGAGTCGCTCAGTTCACTCGAGCCGTGCGACGACGAGCAAGCTCGCGGGACGCTGGTCGGCCCCGTGCGGTCGTAGCCTCCATTTTTGGGCGCCATCGCGCCGTCGCCCTCGCGGCGACCATGATTTAACTCGTCCTGGCTCTCCTGAAACGAAACCCGCCAAAGCTACGGCGTAAGCGCGGCAAAAAGGAGCGGAAATGGCAGTTGGGCAATCGTGAAAGTGCGCAACGAACGAGCGAAACTCAAGACGGCGGAACGGGCGTATACTCCTATAGCTGGCGTCAAATACGTGGCAACGCGAGTGTCATGGCTGACGTTAGCTACGCTAAACCTGTACTTGTACCTACGGGCCAGGGCATCATTGCGTTAAAAGCATGCGTGTCTGGCAGGGTTGCAGTTATCAGGTTTAATGCTGTGATGTACCTCTGCTGTACCTTTGATCGAGAAAAGTCAGAAGCAGGGTAAGAAATCTGACGACTTGGCCGATCACTCTATAGCGGAAAAGGGTAAACTGGGATATGAGAAGCTGTTTAGGTATTATACATGCAAGGTGTCGCCTGCAACGTCCGAGTCCGAAGGTCCCTCTGTAGTGACTGTACTGAATCTAACTAGTCACGCGTCCAATAAAAGAAAAAAAAAAAGAAGGTGACGTTACGTAAATTGGCGTTATCTCTCTGCGGCTTAGGATACGATCTGAGCTATGGCGAACAGACATAAACCAAGCAAAGCAAAAAAATTAAGCTAGTTAGCGTGTGACGTGGTCTGACATGCACACGATACCGACATACGTATCTACATGACGCAGAGCAGTGGTGTAGCCAAGGAGAGGAAAGGTGTTCAAACCCCCCTATTTTTTTTTTCTTTTTGCTTGCGAATCTATAAACGCACACATACAAACGCCCACACGAACATACTTAAACTAAGGTTGAACCCTCCTCCCCAAACCCCCGAAAAAATTTTCTGGCTACGCCACTGCCGCATAGCCTATACCGAATTGTAGTAGAGACTCGTTCAAAGCGACAATCATCAACGCGCCGGCTATTCCAGCGAAAAAAAACAAACAAACAATGAAAAAAGTATGTGCTTTTAATTCAATGCTGCCTAAGAGAAATACACGCGAACGAAAATCTAATCAACGTTAAATTGGGCCGCACGACGGCCACTTCTTTTTTCCTCTTTTTTTCCTCTTTAAAGCGCTGATAAATCTTCACGCAAAGAACCTTTTTATTATTTTATTATTTTTTTTAGCCTTAACTGAAGTAATTCCTTGCTAGAGCTGCATAAAATGGTATAGGTGCAATGCCCAGACGTGATGAAATACAGTCCCGCTTGCGACGCAATTTCCTGTACTTGCTGCACGCTGCAAATGTCGTTTAGAGTGCACCAAAAGTTTCTCTTGTTTTTTTTATAAAGAGACAAACTTATGTATCGCGGAATGTCTACGAAATAAAATAAATCCAGGATGAAAGACTCCACTGTACGACGACATAATTTTCATTTTTTTCTTTTTCTTTTTTTTGCCTGAAGCTTGGAGCTGTTCATTTTATTAAGCAGAAGTCCGCTTTGCTCGTTGAAAAACTAGCGTCCGCCTTGATCGTGTAGTGGTTACGGGGCTCAGCTGCTGACCCGAAGGCCATGGGTTTGATTCCGGCCGCAGAAGTTGCGTTTTGATCGAGGTGAAATTGTTGAAGCAAGCCGGCGTATACTGTGCGATGCCAACGTGCATCAAAGAACACCAGGTGGTCAGCATTTCCGGAGCCCTCCACTATGTGGCGTGCCTCGTAATCAAATCGTGGCCTTTGGAAGTGAAACCCCAATTATTATCATCATCGTCGAAATATTAAACATGTATAAATAAAAAATAAAAAAGAAATAAAAAGTATCGGTGTAATTTGCCTAAAACAGTCCAAACCTTTTGTTAAATCTTTGGGAACCCACATTTCAATGCGCTGTGGAACATATGCTCTCGAAAGTCCTTTTGTTATTATCGCTATTTTTCAGCTTCTTCCTTCCTGATACGCTATAATTACAGTGATATTTTATATTCCTTAGTGAGATTTTATGTACTACCTGTCTCGTGATAATACCCATCTTTTTTTTTCTTTTTTTCATTTATGTGCCATATTTTATAAAAGCGACATTATTTTTCTACGGTTAATGCACGCACACTTTAATCTGAAATTAAATAAAATAATATGTCTGAACAAGAATCCGAATGAAAAGTTGGGCTAGTTGGAATGCTTGCATGATGGGTGCAGAGCTAATGACGAATGCGCAAGAAACAGAGTGATTAGAAGAGAAAGAAGGCACCTAATTTCTTCTGCCCTGCAGGGAGCACGGCGCAGTGCCTCAGAGTGCACAAGGCGAGCATTCTCTCGCAAGTCAAAGATACATTTCAAAAAACAAAACGGGAAAAGAATGCAGATAATAGCAGACATACTCATAAGTAAGCAAGCAAAGCAAATCAGTTAAGAACGCGCGTGCATCCGTAAGAAATTCAAACATGTCCCTTGACAATATATGAGCAAAACAGATAGATAGCTCCCGTTATTTTGATCTGAAAAGCTTCGATCACTCCACAGGTTAATTTAGTACTGCGCCTAGACTGCACGTGCGCATCTACTGACTCCGGAGAGCAGCCACAAGTATCACAGTGCGATGCTGAGATGGGATGTATTAGGCGTATTCAAGGACTGACTATGCTCTTTGAAGCAGACGTTGATGCATCTGCCGCTTTGTCGCACGTACGATTTGCAGCAAGTAAGGGGAATTTGGTACGCTGCCCTGCGAATTAAAGGTACATAAGGAGACGTTTTTTTTTATTTTCGAAGTCCTCTGTTTTCTTTTCACTATACTTTTTTCCGAACAAGAAGGCAGATTTTAGATAGTTTTCCTGGAGCAGGAAGCACCGTGTTAATACCATACCTCGTGCCAACATCGATCAAGCCTTGGGAAAATTTAGGGACATATGGCAAAACTAGCTGATAACCTATGGTAACTTTTTTTCTTTTTGTTCCACTGGTGTCACGTAGATGTTGATTTTCGAACCATTCTAACAGCCTCTCGCTGCAACTAGCTAAAATAAAAACGGGAGATGTGCATTTTGAAGCCCCTGAATCTGAATAGAAATTACACTCCAGACCATGTACACGAGACATAATAATAGCAGACTTCAGGACAGAAAATGCAATTCTATTTTTCCCAACTTTTGAGTGTGTTGAAGAAAATGGTAGAAGCGTTTTATGTGACCTACGAAGATAACACCAACAAACATAGTTAACTTTAAAAAAAAAAGCCATAGGTCTAAGAACTGTAAGTTGCGGCTCTTAATGAAATCAAGTGTAAACTTAAGGCCACGTCACCATTCATGAAAGACCAAGACATTAGTCGTGTTTCTGCTACAGTTACTACATAAGAAAAAAACGAGGTAGCCAGCAGCATAGCAAAAAAAAAACATACAGATTCCTTTAGGTTACTTTGGAGTTTTTTGTTGACACGGCTCAAATAAGATAATTTAAAATTGGTGCCACCCACGAGCTTATGCATAAACTCAGTTATTGTACACAAATTTTTTCAATTGTGAATAAATCTTTCAGCTGCGAGACAGCACTCGTCGTGTGCGCTCGATGTTTCTCACGTCATCGTCTTTAGCTCTGCATTAATCATGCATAACTGCACGAGTGGGCGCTAATAATCCTCAAAGGGCGGTGGTGAGACTAGGCCTCCCCCGTTCCTACGTGGGAACGGCCTGCGACGTTGCTCTAAAAGAGTAGCGTTTCTAAGGACCCAATGATGTTGTCCGTCCGTCCGTCCGTCCGTCCGTCCGTCCGTCCGTCCGTTGTCTGTCTGTCTGTCTGTCTGTCTGTCGGTCCGTCCGTCCGTCCGTCCGTCCGTACGTACGTATGTACATCCGTCCGTACGTCCGTCCGTCTGTCTGTCTTAGGTATGTCCTCACACCACTCAAAAACCCAAAGAGGGTATGGACAGTGACCCTACGGCAATTACGAACAACACACCTTTCCAAACTCCTTTGAACTGAAATGGATGTTCCTCGTGAGCCGCAAGGAAACAGGTACACTCAAACATATTCTGTGCGAATGTGAAGCCTAACGAAGAAACGAGCCCAACCCAGAGTCCCTCCCACTGAGGTGAGCCCCCACGCTGCGCAGCTCGGACCCCGGCGACAAACTTTGGGCCGCCGAGAGACAAGCCTTCAAAGTCTCGTCGTGGGAGACCTGAGACCGGGTCTCTAATATCTGAAAGACCTCTCAATAAAGGTATTTCCATTCATTATATCCCAGTTCACTCCATTTAATGTAGCCATGAGCAACATGCTACACGCCCGCAGGGGCGGCGCTCCTGCGGCAGCAGAGCTGAGAAATCACGACCGGAAGAGAGAGGAGAAAGCAGCCGCCACACCCGCGCGATTCGAAGTGCCGCGCGAACCATTTCTATTGAGTTGTGTCTCTTCTTATACTTTCTGAGCTTGCTTTGCGCTTTGAATAATGAGATTTCCATTGTATATTTTAGTTTCCTGTTCCCATGATGTTCGATACCAATAAAATTTCTTTGTAAAATGATATGGACGAGCATGAGAATAAATGTACGAAATAATTCTCAAAGTTGGTTTGGCAAAGTTTTAATGCACTCTTAGATAACAAAAATATACTCATCCTTCTTTTTTAGTATCTCGTTAACCTCCCTGCCTTCTCCCTTTATATTTGCTTTCTTCCTTTTCCTAACAGCTCTATACCCAAAATCAACGAGAAACGGAGGTTCTCTTCAACAGTGTTTTTAGAAGATTATTTCTTAGTTAATCAAAATTTTGTTTGTCATAAACGCTTGTTTGTCATAAACATAAAGAAATGAATGAAGGGGCGGTTTCTTTTGTTATATACCAGTAGTGAAGCCAACAGAGAATGAAGCCAACGAAGGTACATAGGGTACTTTACTTGTAGTCTTTAACTGCACTGTAGTAACTATGATATAAAAGATATTGTATAGTGTGTGATGTAGTTATTGTGTGATGTTGTAGAGTGAGCTAAGGAACTCTCCATCAGTACAATGCATAGCGCCGCGGTAATAGTAGCGTAGGCTTACAGTGTTACGGTATATACTACACAAGCACTTATCTCGCTGCCTATGTACTTTACCTCTGCGTCTTCTTTGCACATCTCTCGTTTGCCTAAAAAAGGACTGCTACGGGATTTCATGTCAGTCGTACGAGAGGTCGGTGCCATCGGGAAGCGATAATAACAAGGGTTAGCTAATGATGCCCGTTAGCCAGCGCACCGCGCGCTTTAGCCTTAATGGTGTACTCATAGGAAGACATAAAACATTCACTTTGACGACCAGTGCTATAGGAGGAATACATATCATAAACGAAGGAAAGAACATAATGCGTGACTATCTCGCTCGTTGTGGACGTCCTAACTCCAAGAGGAACTGCGATTATCTACAGGACCGTTTGATGAACTGCGGTTAACTACAGGACCGTTTACTCTGTTGTAGACAAAACTGAAAACCAGGATAGCCCTATATGTGCGACCGGACCCTCCTATCCCTAATAAACTGTTGCAGAAGATTTCACCACACAACTCGCATACGCTTCGTTTTGCTTATTGAAACGTTCCGACCCGTAGCCAGCCATTACTTTCAGGAGCGGGGGCACTTGTTGAAGATCTTAAGAAACACCTATCTTTATTGTTTGTCCTTGGAGAAAAACAATCCCAATTTTGGATGTGGAATGAGGAGCCTTAGGGTACCACTCCCCCTGGCTATGGGGCTGCAAACGCTAATATAAAGTTTTGAGAGTCAAATCCACAATATGATTATGAGAGACGCTGCAGTGAAGGGCTCCGGAAATTTAGGCCACCTGGGGTTGTTCAATATGCACTGACATCACACAGTACTTGTGCCTCTGGCGCTCCACCCCGATCCAAATGCGACCGCCGTGGCCATGCCCAAACTTCGGGTCAGCAGCTCATTAGAGTAACCACTGTCACCGAGGCGCACGATATTGTAGCTTTCAACAAGGTGACATAAAAATGCTACACTCACCGACAAATCATCATTTGGCTCGGACTGCTGCCTGTACACGGTAAGTGTCACCAAGCCAGACGCAGCCCTCAGTATCTCTAAAGCTTGCTGCAAAATAGTTTTAAAAACACAAAAACAAATTTCACACTCTCTATACGCACGACATTATCTAAAAATTTTAATTGTAATGCTGTTGGGGGTTCAACGCACCAAAACCACGACTTGATTATGAGGGATGGCTTATTGGAGGTCTCCAGAAAATTCACCCACCTGAGCTCATTCAACGTGCACCTACATCTAAAAAACGGGCATCTAGCACATCACCTCCACCGAAACATTACCGACGTGGCAGGGATCAAACCCGCGTCGTTTACGTCAGCAGCCGAGCGCCGCAACTACTGTACAACCGAAGCAGCCTCTTCTCGAAATTTTATCTGTAACGCGTTGCAAAACAAACGTCCAGTTAAACGCAAGGCTTCAAGGTTGCATAAGAACCCATACGCATGTACACACACGTCTATACGCTGCCCTCACGCGCGCGCATGTGTACACGCGAAAACACACACACAGACAAGCGCGCACACGCGCAAGCGTTCAGATGAGATGCGAAGATTCAGAAGAAAAAAGAAGTCACATACGACATGAAAAACAGATTCACTCCGATACAGTGAACAGCAAGATCACAGCGCAATGAACAAGAGCGCGAGTCCCTCGCTGTACTCACGCTAAACACTGGGGTGTGCGTGATGACGTTTCACCCGCTGCGGGGGGGGGGGGGGGTCCAGTGGTTGTGGTACTCGACTGCTCACCCGAAGGACGCGAGATTGAGTCCCAGCTACGGGGGCCACGTTTCGATGGAGGCGACATGCTAGTGCCTTACTTTTACGTGCACGTTAAAGAAGCCCAGGTGATTGGAATTTTCGCAACCCTCTCCAACGGCGCCCCTCCTAATCATAGCGTGATTCTGGGATGTGAAACGCCCACAATTATTTCATGATAACGTTTTCATACGAACCGCAGTACTTCTTCCGAGCAAGCGAACACCGTTCACTTTGAGGATAATGTCACCCGTTTGTAGGCGACCACAGAGCTGCGCCGGTAGTCCTGGGTAAAGTTCGTGGACCCGCACGAAGCCATTCTCAGCGGATGTGCTGCAGTGCTTCAGAATGCCGAGGCCCAGGCCACGGCCGGGAACCTTCTGCAGCGCCACCGTGAACACATTGGCTGCGCAGTGCGTAAACATATTGCCCACATATTGAAACCACAACGCGAACCGTTTGACATTGCGCTACGCACTCTTAAAAGATCTTGATGACCAAGAATAAGCAACAGTCGCGGCGTGAAAGCGGCGGCAGGGAACACGAAGGGCCAAGAGAGACTACAATTAGACAAACGCAAGACACGTTTGAATCGAGACGTGCTTTGGTGTAGCTACAGCCACTAATGCTTGCCTATTGACTAACATTTATATGCAACTTTTTAGTATACCCGAGGAACACGGAAGGATGCTTGTTCAAGAAATACGCAATAAAAACAAGATAGAAATTAAGAGAGTATCAAAAAGCATCAAAATCATTGTATACTACATATATACCATCTCTAACGTATATAAAACATGCGCAGATTATAAGGACAGAGTTCAATACATACAGTATGATCACACAGATTACCGCAGATACAGTCCTTACGGTGATACAAAACAAAGTGAACATCATACTGCTTAGCGTCATGGCGAAGTGCATGTGTGTGCTAGTTCTGAGGCATTCAAATGAGGTGGCATACGATACACGTGGTTTGAACCGCACAATCGCGCGCAGACGGTAAGGTGCTGGCAGCTGCGGCCCACTGCAACCGCGTTTGACGCTTCGACGCTCTATAGCGCAAAAGTCATCCAACCACCTCTAACAACAAGCGCATTTATATAGCACTTCTTGCGCATTCGACTCGCACACAGCTGAAGTGCACGTGCCGTGATGGCACAGCATGGCCGCCGATGCGATGAAAATCTCTGAGGCAGCAAGCACGTGCTCTGAAACAATCCTCCTCGAAGCATATCACTGTGCTTGTCCTTTGTGTCTCGTGGTTCACATGGGTTCAGTATCTGCTCCGACTGAATGCAAAAAAAAAAAATTTGAGTCCTTCTTGAAAAATTGACTTGCTGCGCAAACTTGAAGGAAAACGAGAAGAGAGACAGTTTGCGCATCAAGTACATTTTTCATGTATGAAATAATAAGTCTGGAAAAAAGTATTTCTGGGTCCTTTTTTTTTAATCTTAAACTTTCACTCACTCCCTCACTCACTCACTCACTCACTTATTGATTATTCGATTATATTTGTACAGGAGGATAAAATGATGCAAAAGCTTCAGTTGTGAAGCTTAGAAGCCTGACACAAGGCAGCCAAAAAAAGCTCGGGAAGAACGGATACAGGAGGAGGAGGATGAGGAGGAAAGAAATAAGCGGAAGTACAGAGAGGTTAGCCAGTTCTTAGACTGGCTGGCTAGCCTGTGCAGGAAAAGGGGTGAGAGGAATAAAATGTGATAGAAAGGAGATGTTACAAAGAGAGAGAGAGAGAGAGAAAAGACAAAAAGATAGCAAAAAAAGATAGACAAAATCAAAAAGAATACGAACTAAAGTCAAAGTGCCAAGACAAAAACTTACCGAAGCTCTAGATAGACTTGATTATCGGCATTTGTCGGGAAAAAAAAGATTACGGGACATTGGCCGAGTCCATCCTCCGCCCAGAAGGCATTGAAGGCTTTATTACGTTTTTTTTTTCCAGACAACAGCAGCAGAGCATACAAAAACACCAATGGATTCTTCTTCCAAATACTCCCCAGGAGAATGTGTGCCGATGTCATCATGACCAAGCGCATTTTCATTTTAGATTGGAAGTAACCTTGTGACATCCAGGTCTTCATAAAATTTCTTATTTTAAAAAAAAACGTCCATCCTGACACTATAAAAAACATCATTTGACAGTCTCTTGCTTCTTATGTAAGAAGCAGATGTCAGTCGAAGAAATGCCTACTCCCTCTGCTGAGTCCATGTTCCGACCATTAAAATGGCACTAGGAAGCTCAAAGGAGCTGCAGCTACGCACCGTTAATTGCTCGTGCGTACGCAGATGATCCAGAAATGTAGATTCGAACCGCGTCGCCTGCTACAGCGGCTCTTGCTTGCCGAATTGCTGGCCAGCGCGCGGAAATCATTGTTAGTGCAGGAACTGGGCTGACGATCTGCACTAAACGTTGTACGACGCCAACTTCCCAGCCTTTATTTGTGATAAAGGGATGCTACAAGCAGAATTTGACATGCAGCATACCTTGTTTGCCCTCACGAAACACCATGGTGCTTTGCGCGTTCATGAATATTTTTTCGCTGTATCTGCACCGCAGTACAATTGAACGAGGAAGATACGACAATTAGCATGCATTGTGCGTCATCTTGATATGACTGGGTAAAAGAAGCACTCAACAGTAAGAGTCTTACTGTTCCTCTAGCTTAACGTGATAAAACAAATGAGAACAAATTCGAGAATGTTTTAGGTCAGGAGAAAAACAGAACGTATCTCTTTACGACGACATTTCATTACCACAAGACTCGCTAGCCGGCTCCGAAATGAAGTGTAGTTTTTACAACAACGTTCAATGTGCCTAAGTTGCTCTTTTTCTGGTATATGGGGCATGGTAAACCACGCAAACAACACAGTACTGCTCTTTTCAGACGAGAATAAAATTTAAAAACGTACGGCAGATAAGCCCCTGTTTTGTTTAGCTCAATCTGGATATTATGGTACATAGCCCTCATCCTCAACGAATGGGAAATGCTGCGGCAGAACACATCACTGACACAATGCGTTCACTGCTGTCTAGTATGAACGCCATCATCGCTACCACTAAGGATATTAGCTTGGAAGCGTCAAGAATGCATTTTGATGCCGGGAGCGAGTCCTTTTTGTTGTGATAAAATATCGTCAAGAATAAGCACGTTCAGAAAGTTGTTCTACCCTAAATATTTCCCGAGTTCATTCCCATTTGTTTTGTTGTGTTAAGCCCGACCAGCTGCCCAAAAGTCACCACGTGTGCTTTGTTTTATTTAAAGTCAAATAGATACCACCCATGGTGCATGCTCATGTCTTTCTAATCGAAGCTTACTACGGCGCACTCGCAATGAAGAAACATTGTCACAATGTTTCAATAGAGCAAACAAGGTATGCTGTCAAACACTGCTTCCAGTGCCCCATTACCACGAATAAAGCCTGAGAAGTTGGCATTGCACAACGTTTAGTGCTGACAAGCGTTGAAAGTTGGGCAAGTTGGTATGGCAACGTCTGAACAAAAAAAAAACTGGACAGCAAGACGAGACATGAAGAGAGAAAGCATGCGCAAGTTTGTCATTCCTTGTTTCTTCGTATCCCATCTTGCGGGGCAGATTTTTCCGAAAATGATTAGTGCAGAGTATCGGCCCCGTTCGCGCATTAACAATGATATCCGTGCACTGGCCGACAATGTGGCACGCGCCCTGCCGTAGCAGACGACGCGGTTCAACTCTACGCCCTTGAAGCGGCTGCGCACGCGTGATGTGCTGCCGGCGCGCGATTGCAGCGAATTAGTCGCATCGCCATACCAGGCGCTCCGAGATTCCCCCTAAGTATCAAACAGCCTGCACAGTGTTAATTTTTATGAAAGGGAACATGGGAGCGCGTGGCCTGCGCGCTCCGGTGGTTGCTGGTAGCGCGTTCAAGTGGAAGTGAGAGCAACCACAGCTTCTTTTCGCGTTATCTCGCGGCGAGCAAAGCAACCAGCCATTGCTGAGATACTCCCTTCCCCCTCCCGATCAAGGTGAATAACGCAAGAGGCCGGTAACCACCTTGAAGGGGGAGGGGGTGCTATCTTGTTGCTGGTTCCATATCAGCGATTAATGCTAGCTTTGCTCGCCGCGAGATGACGTGAAAAGGGGCTGTGGTTGCTATAGTTTCCAGGTGAACACGCTGCCACGGCAGCCACCGGAGCGCGCAGGCCACCTGTTCCCGTCTTCCCTTCTATAAAAACTGACACTGTAAAGAACGGAGCACGTGGCATCTCGGTGCGCCCAGCGCTGCAGTCACGCGATGACAGCAGCTCGCGCATGCGCAGACGCTCCAGAAGCGGGCTATTGAACCACATCGTCTGCGGTGGTGGTGCGCTCTAGCCACATTGTCGGGAATGCAGCCTGCTGATTTGATCGTTGCTGCGGGAACTAGACTGATATTCTCAAATAGACGTTGTGCGGTGCCAACCTCTCAGCCTTCATGGAGGTTTAAGGGTTTCTAGAAACAGAGCAAACAGAGCGAAATGCAGTGATACTGAGTGCGTCCATGAACATTTTTTTTTCTTTGTGTGTGAACCGCAGGACGCTGCGGCGGGGAATACCATAATGAACACGTACCATGCATGGCATCGATTTCACTCTAAAAAAAACAAACCAAGCATTCTACAGCGACTGTCGTACGGCTATGTGGGCTCAACACAATGAAGCAAACGAGAAGTTCAGCAATGCTGTAGGTTAAGATAACGATCTGAATGTGCTTCTTCTCGATGGCATTTCATAACTTGAGGCAACACTCACTCACCGGCACCGATATGGACGCCTGAATCTTTCAAACTTCCCTTAATACGCCGTCATGTTCCCAGCGGGTGGCAGTGAGGTGTACCATGACACGATGAGAAATATCAGCCCAGTTTCTGCTGCGACAATAAAATTCGACCAATGCCTGAAAATACGGCCAGCGCGCGCTGCCGTAGCCGAAGACGCGGTTCAATCGCTCAACGCATGCTCCTCAAGCTTCTGCACACGCGCGAGCTGCCCTCCTTCCCCCCCCCCCCCCCCCCCGCGGTGGTCTAGTGGCTAAAGTACTCGGCTGCTAACCCGCAAGTCGCGGGATCGAATCCCGGCTGCGGCACCTTCATTTCTGCCCAGCCGCGGTGGTCCAGTGGCTAAGGTACTCGGCTGCTGACCCGCAAGTCGCGGGATCGAATCCCGGCTGCGGCGGCTGCATTTCCGATGGAGGCGGAAATGTCGTAGGCCCGTGTGCTCAGATTTGGGTGCACGTTAAAGAACCCCAGGTGGTCAAAATTTCCGGAGCCCTCCACTACGGCGTCTCTCATAATCATATAGTGGTTTTGAGACGTTAAACCCCACAAATCAATCAAATCAAA